CAAAGCTGACTCCATTTTGTTCTAGCTGACTTTTGCTACACCTTATGTTTCTGCCTAGACACCCCCCCCACCAAGTTCTAACTGCTGTAAACCAAGCAGGTCACACCTGTAATTTCAGGAGTACATTGTTTCTACAATACTGGGAAACTTCCAGGCAGCCCAGTAGCATATACTCCCACCAAGCTATATCTACATATCCATGGAGTCCATTGTTTCTGAAATACTGAGAAACTTGTTTCTCCCAACAGAAAATTTTGTTAAGTGAAAACCTCTTTGTTAACTGACCTGCCCCTAGTCTGGTGTAACTATGGTGATCTAATGTAACTATGGTTATTGGCTTTGACCTTAGCATGATGTAATTGTAATTTTTAACCTTTATAGACCCCACTCTTTCTCTCCTCTGGGTCTAGAGTTCTTTTGGATGTTAGCCACTTTTTGACTACCACTAATAAAAGACTCCTAATTCAATCATCACTATGTGACATTCCTCTTTGCCTCACCCACCCTCTGTATTACAGTAGAAGAAGTTAGGCAACAAGTTACATTGTATTCATAGGAAGCAGAGAATGATGAATTCTGGTTTATGAATGCTAGTGTACAGATAACTTTTTCCTTTATATTCAGTCAAGGACACCAGCCTATGGAATAGTGTCATTTATATTTAGAGTGGGTTTTCTTACCTCAGTTAATTTAATCTAGAAAATTCTTCACAGACGTGTCCAGAAAGAAGTTATTTTCCATTGTGGTTTTAAATCTCATCAAGTTGACAAATAAAATTAACCATCATAATTAGCTAAAATCAAGTGTGGCACACTATGTTCTGAAACTATTGGATGGAAATTTCCAGAAACAAACAATTCATATGCCTTAAATTGTGTGCTGTTCTAAGTAACAATGCAATCTTGCGCTGTTTAGTTCTGTCCAGATTAGGAACTGAAAGATACTTTTGTACCACACATTATGTACTTTGTAATCTTCCTAGTTTTCAGATGAACCATCACAATATCACAATACTTGTGTTCATGTAGTCATTTTTCTTAATAACTGTACCAAAGATCAAATTTAGGAATACATATGCAAAGAGATGTCATAAAGTGCTTTATTTATTTATTTATTTATTTATTTATTTATTCTTTCTGAGATAGGGTCTCCTTGTAGCCCCAGCTGTCCTTGGAACACACTATGTAGACCAGGCTGGCCTCAAACTCACAAAGATCTGCCTGCCTCTGCCTCCCAATTGCTGGGATTAAAGGCGTGTGCCACCACGCCCGGCATAAAGTGTTTTTATAAATAAAATTTTAAAATATATTTTGAGCTTCAGAGCTGGTGATACATGCTTGTAATCTTAACACTCTGGATGCTGAAGGATATTCATGAGTTCAAAGCAGCCTGGGCTACATAGAGTGAGCCTGTCTCTAAAGCAATAACAAAAATTTCGAGAAAGGAGGACTGAAATATACTATGCTATAATAATTGTTCAATATTATCATTCCTTATTGTTTAAACTTTTATTGCTGCAGATCTTTGAGAGTGATGATATCCTTCCCAGCTCAAGTGTGTATGACTGAAGGAAGTGGGTGACAGTCAAACAATGGTCACCAAAATTCAACTAAGGAAAGAAGTTCTCAATGGATGATGACTAAAGACACAGACACAAAGGAGTAAGAAATGTAGGAGCAAACTTTACTATGGAAAAATAAGTGAGGGTAACTTCCAAAATTTAAAGATTTATTGCAGAAAGAAAACAGCTAGAGCTCTTACAGGAGGGCTTCTCAAAGGGCTACCATGAGGTGCCTTGAGAATAGGCTTTTAAATTTTTATTATTTATTTGTTTGTTTGGTTGGTTGTTTGTTTGTTTGGTTGGTTGGTTGGTTTTTTGAGAGGGTCACACTTTGTAGCCCTAGCTGCTCTGGAACTCACTATGTAGATGATCCCAGGCTGGCCTCAATCTCACAGAGATCTTCTGCCTGTGCTTCCCAAGTGCTGGTATTAAATACATATGTACCATACCTGGTCCTAGACTTTCCTTTATTAAGATTATACTTGTGACTGAGCAAAGATTGAAGAAATTTCTATGAGGTTGGTTAATTATCTACGTATCACTGGATGAGCCCCCACACCCTGCCTATTTCTGTCCCCCAGCCATAGACATGATCATACATTGTTTACATGCTACTCTCTAAATTAAGGGAATAGTTGCACCCCTTTATGTCTTTGTCTTCTGCTTTGTTAGCTACTGACCTTGGCTATTTGCTAGCCCTGGCCAGTATTGCTGCTCACTGACCTTGCAGATGTTGCAGGCCCCTAACCTTGGTTGTTATCTTGCATCTGTTAAATCAAACTGTTCTCACTTTGTTCTCACATTTATCTGGCAAGCTAGCAGTTTTTCAACATGGAACTTTTCCCTTATTGTCTGCCTCATTATTATCCCTGATTTGTAAATTAAATCCGATCATAGGTATCTCTGTACAGGAGAAAAAAAATAGTATATACTGGATTTGATATCTGTGGTTTCATAAATCCACTGGGGGTTTTGAATCCTCTCCTCTGAAGACAAGGGAGATCTGAATACATTATCTCTATCTATCTATCATCTATCTATCTATCTATTTATCTATCATCTATCATCTTCTATCTATTTATATATCTCTATCTGTCTGTCACTGTCTCTATCTCCCATATATGAAAACATCACAGTTGCTATAGCATATAGCATAGATAGAAAGAGCCAGTCATTACTATTCCTATTAATTTTGTATTGCATTTAAGGGTGCTAGATATTCGTAGGGATGATGGAGGTTATGTGTTAGTTAAGGTGTCACTGGATATTCACTTTCTACAAATAAAGGTCCCTGTTTCCCTTTGCCTTGGGTTGTACTCAGCCTTATATAATTCACATACTACAGCTATAAAGCATATGAAATAGAATAGAGTTTTAAAGAATACTTTGAGAATACCCCAAATATATAGTTTCTCTATAAATACTTGTATATGAATAAATGAACAAATTGGCAAGAGAATGAAGGGGGAAAACAGCAATCTCTTATAGTCCTATCACTCCAGGACCAACCACTTTACATGTCTCATGAAGTTCAAATTTTTGCAGTGTTAATCAACATTAAAATGTTTGTGTTAGGTGCTCCATCAGATATTTTATGTTCATTATCACATTTATTCCTCATAACAATTTTCAGAATAATTTTACTTCTCAGTACATAGTTATTGAAATTGGAATTCAAAAAGCCTATGTAGCTTATCAAATGCTTTTTAACTAAAAAATATAGAATCATAAATGGGATTCAGGCTTCGTAGTTTCAATTAATATATATCAATCATGTACCTGTTTGGTTCTGCCATGTTGTGAAAACATAACACCCAAAAGGAGCTTATTAAAATTGTATTATGCACACTACAAATTCTAAACAAAAATGTAATACATTATTTTAAAAAATAGTTACAGTGGAATCCCTTTTTATGTCACTTGTACATATTCCTTTTATTTCTTCATTTCAGTTTAATGTATGTACAAAAATGACTCTTCATGTCTCCATTTTTGATACTCAGTATGCTCTGTTTTAGATATCATCACTTCCAGAGCATGACTGTTAATAGCTATATGCTGAGTTTTAAATTTAATCATTATGGGGCTGGCAAGCTTGAAGAACCCAGTGTACCTTCACAACTACCTAGCAGTATTTTTTTTCATTCTGTTTCAAAATTCACCTGTAGAATATACACTTAACATGCCTCTGCTAGAGAGTTGTAACACATATTTGCATATTAGAAACAGATGCCCCACAAAACAAATGTACTTACCACCTCTATGTTACCGCAATCTGCTAATTTCTGATTTTTTCCTCTGGAGCCCCTTAAGTTTCCTGGGCCACCACATATGCATCTTCCATTCTCAAGAACTTCCACCATTCTTCAGGGTTTTTTGTTTTGTTTTGTTTTGTTTTGTTTTGTTTGATTGATTTAGAGACAATGTCTCCCATGTAGCCCCTTGTGTCCTGGCACTCACTTTGTAGATCAGGCTGGTCTTGATCTCATAGAGATCAGCCTGCCTCTGCCTCCTCCAAAGAACTGAGATTAAATTTCTGTGCCACCATGCCTGACTTCAGTTATTTTTTATTGCTGCCTGAACTTGTGTCCAGGGAACTCAAAGGGTTTGAGAGTTTAAGGATTGAGTGTGGACACCAATTTATGTTTCCCCAACACTTGCTAAATACCACACTTTTCTCCAAAGTGTGCAGAGTGGAAATTATTGTGAAGGGAAAGATTTCTTCACCATCTTTTTTTCCCCTATCACTTCTATTTCTTCCCATAGCAGTGTCCAGAGGAGCATTTCACTCACTGGAGTGCTCGTACACAATTTAAAGGAAGCATAGGATAAGTTGTAAAGGTGATGGTAGTAAAGCTGAGGAGAAAGGAAACGAAAGAAGTTTAAAAGGATCCTTACTGTCGTCCTTACCTCAGGACTCCAAGTTTGCCCACTTTTTATGTCCCACTTTCTTCCTTTGAGACACAGTGCAAGTTACTAGCTCTTACATATGATGTTGGGACAAAAGATCTTCCATTTTTGTATTTGTTTTCATCTATTATGAATTAAACAAAAGTCTAAGCCAAGCTAATTTCATTGATATTTTTATTGAATTCCAGTTTATCGCTTCTTGGTAGAGCAAATATAATATTAAAGGTATTGCTTATTTGACAATCGTGCTGGTCTACATTGCATCTCAGGCCCAAATCTCTCCATAAAACATGCCAAGGCAAGCAGGCAACACAGTTCTATGAAACTGTTAAATTATGTAATTTTTATGAATGGTTATGTAAAAGACATTTGAAAAATAGACTTGGATGACAGAAAGTTAGAAATAAAATTGAACATAATAAAAATTGTAGTAGCATTGAATCTTCCATGAAGTGTTAGCTTATAGCATTAGCTAAAAAATACAGAATATTTTATTGTGTCTCTGATTGAGATATACTTCACTGCTGCCACATATCATATCTTGTAAATACGCTTTTAAGGTATAGCTTTGTTGGATATTCATTCGTGGTCTGCTCCAATCGATCCCTATAAAGAAAGTGGAGATATTAATAATTCATATGCATGGTACATTTGGAAACCTGTATCACTTAACTACTTTATAACATGCCTGATTTCATGTCCTATATCAATCATTTTACTTGGATTTTTTATTATTTCTAATTTTTCTAATATTTTTACAATTTCATGGTTAAGACTAATTTATAATTGATAGAACTGGAGGTGTGAGTGGTACTCCAGTTTCACTGTCCCAATATATTAAGCATCTTTTAATCACATATCATTACTTATTGTAGTGAGCTGCAAAAGATTTACAACCTGAGCTGATCCACTTCAGAATCATTGACAGAATAAATCACCTAAGAAATCAAAGCTTATAATGTAGGCCAAAGTAATAGCATTTTGTTATTTGTAAGACACTGCTTAGAGATATGTTCTACAGAAATCATAACCCTAAGGTAAGCACAGAAATGTATGAACTTGACAACTAGGGATAGATGTAACAACAAAACTCAAATTTCTTGAACCCACCACAATAAAACTAAACATTGTGCAAAAATAAATTGGATTTGAAAAGAAAATAAAACAGGTGAAAAGAGGTGGAAATTTCTGAAGGACTCTTTGCTCCCTGTCACAGAACTAGAAAAGATGGAAGGGAACTAATAATAGCATTCAAAGTGGAAAGGATGTATACAATATTTTATTTTCATAGCCAGCTTTGTGATATACTTTTGTTTTGTGAAAGGGGCATCATTGTATGCTATAAAGCCTTTACCTTCACTATCTACCCTGCCAAAAAAACAAAAACAAAAAACAAAACAAACAAACAAACAAACAAAAAACAGAACCACAAGAGGATTAATAGTGTGCCCAACTGCACTTGTGGCTTCAATGTATCTATATGTTACTCAAGAAAGATCTATGCTTTTACAAATACAAGACATCTTCCTTTTTACATGAAAGTAAGATGAACCATCATTCTTCACCTTATGTGAAAGGAAATATAAATGCAATGAGTAAGACTAGCTGCATTTTTACTATTGAGCAGAACCTAGTTTTTTTGTTTTGGGGAGTTTTGGAGGTACAAAGGCAAAAACTTACAGTATTCTTAATAAGATATATGCTCAGTTTCAAATGAAAAGCAGAAGGATAGATGCTGACACATCTAATCATTAAAAGTGAGATGTCTGAAGAAATACAGTCAAAAAAAAAGGAGCTCAAAATTACCATTCATTCAATATTTTTCTGACTAAATAGGAGCTTTTTTTCTTTTAAAAAAGATATACTGATTTCTGTTTCAATAAAATATACACTATAATTGTTATCATACATTATAAAATGGAATCTATTTCACCAGGTACACAAAAGTTTGATTTACTTAGTTCATAATCATACCTTAGAAAAAAGTGGCTTAACGAGTAAAGAGGGCTCAGAATAGTCTGGGATTAGTCCAGCACTCTTGAAAAATTTGCATTTTTATCAGGGTCAATATGTTTTTTTGGCGACATGTGAGTGTTTTCATATGTGGGTGCTTTCCCTAAATTTAGAGCAGTATCTGATACCTACCTTACTAAAGATATGTTTACACTGAAATGTTGGAAAGATGGAAAAATTCATACCCAATGTTAAACAAATGGAAAAAAAAGCCTCTTTTTTTTTCCTCAACAAAAACCTCTTACAATTTTTCACCTCATGGTGCAACATCTAGCTATTTCAAGTCAAATCCCTTCCTAAGAGAAAAATAATTGAAGCTGTCAATAGCTTCTGATCATTCAATTCTTAATGTCCTTTGTTCACGAACTGATATCCAGTATCAGTAAATAACACAGAGTTTGGAAAGTGTCGCTTGATAAAATATAGAAAACCGAGAGTAGGAGAAATGCATTCTTTAGTGTAAAATCATAACTTTGAGGACGCCACCAAACACGGTTACTTATGTCCTGGGAATAATTAAGAGTCCAGTGCCTCAGCAAAATTCAGCTATACATGTAAGGTTGCCGTCCCTTGGTGCTTAGAAAAGAAACTCAGCTGCAGCTTTTGTCCACTGCAAGTGTGAAGCTGTTCAAGCCTGGAGGTGAATGAATCTTATATGCTCTGATTACAAATTGTTATATTATCATGACTTTATTAGGTAGGTTGTTGGAATAGTCAGAAATTTCTATCAGAATCTTTCTTCCTTGGAAAACCCTTCATTGGGTTTTTCCCCTAGTTTCCCCTTCTTGAGCTTTTAGCAAAGATTTTCTAGGAGTAGGGAATCATTTTAAACTTTTCCACATATTTGCCCAAGCACTATAGCAAGCAACAAATATTGTTTTGGTAATGTAGTAGGACTAGTCCCAGGACAAAAACCAAAAAAGAAAAAGAAAGAAAAAAGAAAAAGAAAAAGAAAAAACTAATAAGTTACATCCAGAAGGGAATGGAGAATTGTTAGTTTCATTTCACAGGTATGCCCTTTTCAGATTGTAGTAATCTGGAGTGATGGAAAGGGGGAAGGGCATTAGAAGTTTATATATCCTTCTAAGCTTTCACTAATAGCACCCTCTAGTGTCTTCACTATGCATAGGATTTTTATCTAGGTTTAAAAAAATAAACTCCAGTTAAAACTATTAACAGTGCAGAGCTCTGTAAGAGCAAGCTTTCTCCCATTTCTGTTTTCAGTTTCAGAAAGACTTCATTTGTCTTTCATGTACTTGTACCAGTTTCAGACTTATTTTGATGTCTTTCCAAATAACCATAGTGTGAATGTGCACATTTGAAAATGTACTTTCTAAAATTTTCAGAGCATTTTATTTACTTATTTTTAATATTATGTTACACTATCATTCCTCATACTATTGTGTGTGTGTATGTATGTATGTTGTTACTTGTAGAGAGAGCAATTGATTTGACTTGCAATATAAGATGAATTTCGAACTACAGTCTATGCTTCAGGCAGTCCCAGTGCCATTAGACTTTATTTTTATGTTTTAAGTTTATATAACATTTTAATTTCTTATGTCTTGGAGGGGAACAATACTTTTAGTGCCTGACAGTGTGCTAAACCTTTTAGCTGCACCATCTTAACATTTCACTAAAATGCTTTGAGTTGGATGTTATTGGCATGTTTAGATGAAGAAACAAAAGTTTTTAATAAGAAAACTTTGTCCCCAAGTATTTAAAACAATTTGCACATGTAGCTTTAAAGTTTTATGCAGCTACATTAAAACTACTAAAAGCAAACAGGCGCAATTAATATAAATGATATATTTATTCAACCAATTACTAAGAATATAGACTTTAATGTAGTAGAATTGATGTGAAATCCTGAGATATCTTATGTATGTAGGTGATTGTTCACATCACAAGACACCTTCAAATTTGTGTATGAAGTTTATGCTCCCAGTACATCTCAGTTGGGTGAATCACATTTCATGTGCTCAGTAGCCACATGTGGAAAGTGGTATTCATGCTAGACAATATTGTTCTGGAGGTTTGTTTGTCTGCAGCAACACAGCTAGGAAGTTGCAGACTGAGGCTTCATATTTATTCTAAATCTAAAGTCCCTTTCTTAACCATTGAGTATCATTGTCTGTGACTAATTGTAATTCTTGCTACCACTCTAATATTAAACATAGAAATAAGGAGAATTATTTTATCTCATTGTAGCTACTTTCCCAGTACCAATTATTGTCTGTTAATTACAATATCTGTGCACAATGCACAGCACAAGTTGTTTTATACAACACAAAACAGCTGAACTTTTGTATAAAGTAGCTATCATGTGATAGATAAAATGTGTGGTTGTTTTTTTTGTTTGTTTGTTTTGTTTTGTTTTTTTTTTTTTTTTTTTGGATCTGGCTTTGGACTCACAGAGAGCCACCTGCCTCTGCCTCCTGTGTGCTGGGATTAAAGTCATGCATCACCATGCCAGGGTACAATTAAATTTTTTTTAAAATTTTATGTGTGGGCTGGAGAGATGGCTCAGTGGTTACCAGGGATGGAAAATCACAATTAGATGGCTGATTACTTGATAATGGATATTTCAACCTTAAAGCAATTGAAATAAAAGAAAGCTTTGATCGGCTTTGTCAATCTCATATCAAAAGTGCTTCGGGTACAGTAATAAACATATACATTAATCGGCAGTGAAATAGTGATCTCTTTGTGCTTTTTTTTTTTTAGTTGGAGACCACAACTGATCAATCCTTCTTCAGAATAACACATTATTTTTCAGTAATAATCAATTCTCACAGGTCTGAGAAGCAATCGTACTCACTGACATTTTTAAAAATTCCTTTTTGATCATTTATAGAATAATACTTTGAGTCTAAAGATAAGAAAGGGAATATATTTCTATATTTATGGGTTATGTATTTCCACAGTTACATGTTCATATGCATTAACAGTATCATCATTCAGGTTCCTAACTGGAACACTGGGGGGGGACCACAAAGTGCAGTAAATATCACAGTTGCTTCGTATCACTTCCTTTAAAAACAGATTGGCACAATGCCGTTTTTACTCTTGAAGTCTTTCATTAATTATACTATTTCAGATGGAATTTACACTGTGAAAACCTTTAAATACACAATCTGAGGACCATATGTTGACAGATCGCATTAAGCACTGAAAACAACATGAGCTTGAATTTTCCAATTCTGGATTTTATAGCTATAAAACTTTAGGCATTTTATCTACTGTTATTGCCTTGTTTGTTAAAAGAAAAAGGAAGGTAATAATATCTACTTCATGGAGTGGTCTTGAAGACTAATAGGATAATATAATAATGCAGACAGTCCATAAACACATTTGGTAAAGGAGAGTCCCCTCTGCAGGCATAACAGAGTCCTTATCAGTTCTTTTGGAGTTAGTTTGATTTTGACAGGTGGTCTGGTTTTGGGCTATTCTATTGCTCGCTGGTGCCACCATCAGTCAGAACACAGGCGAAATGAAAATGAAGACTTTTTTTTTTTCATTATTTTCAAATGTGGATTTCTGTCAATCTTTTCAAGAAACTAAATTTTTCAAATTGTTTTCTGAGGTGGTTAGTTTAACTCGAGTCTCCTTGGTCTATAAGCAATGTTTTCTTTTGGACTATACACATAAAATGAAATATGTATTCTATACTGCAGATGAATCTACATTAAGTACAAAGCATCTATGTAGCTTAATTTAACAATTATCTACTCTGGATAGAAGTCCAGAGACTAAAATGGTTATTTCCATGCCCTTGTGCAAATTCTCTGTGTTTTATGAGCTTCAGTTTCAGGAATTATAAAATACACTTACAAACATTACTGTCATAATTCAGTCACTAAGAACAGTTACTGGCTAGTTTTCTACTGTTACATAAAATTGACATGGCAATCCTAGGAAATCAGCTAATCGGTATTTAATACAGGTGTTATGGATAATTATTAGTGCTCTGAAAGTACCACCCATAACATAGCTTTGTTACACAATTCTAAATCAATCAGTAATTTTATTTTCATTGAGTTCCTGCCATTCCCTATGACAGTCTCATCCAACAGTGCAAACCCCAAGAGCCAGACCAGTAACTAGTTGACAGCTTCTGATTTCATCTTCTAGACATTCCTTTCTCCAAAGAAGAGAACTATGCATGTGCTAGATACAATGAATAATGAAGGCAGAGTTACAAGAAGACTAAAATAGAATTCTAAAGTGTCTCCCTGGAACTCCACAAACAAATCTATCCTCGTGACTTCTTTCATGCAGACTGTCCTGTCCTGCAGTGCTAAGATTTTCTCTCAGCACGTGTTTCAGGTGTAAGAAAATGCAAAAGGAAAGAAATAAGTTCAGGAATTTTTGAACCAACATTTAAACCATAAAAACTAGGAACTGAAAGGAGTTAAGAAGATGAACACAGCATTCATAAAGATCTGCTCTTTCAAGAAAAGTTTTTTGTAAGAAGCTGTTGGAGAAAATCAACGTATAATAACTGGCAAAGTATTTCCTTTTCCATACTCTATCCCTTTGCCGATGCAGTCTCCCCTCCCATTTTCCATTCAATCCACGAAAGTGAGAGATGAATATTGTGCTTTTAGTGTACAGAAAGCAGTGTACTTTTGCTCCTTTTATTTCAGGAAAAAGCTTTGCACTTCCAAAACCAAAGCAGAAAACCAGATATCTAAGCTTCTCTTCACTCCAAGCACAGAAAGTGGATTATTCTCTTTAAAACACACATCATTTACAGAGAGCAGTTTTGACAGTTCACTTGTCCCTTCTCTGGCCTCTAGGTCAAATATAAGGACTGATCTCTTGAAACAAAAATCAGGGAGATTTGGGTGCTGCTGCTGTTTGTTTTTAATCCCATTTCAGGAGTAAGGAATTAGCCCCTGCTTCTTAATAGTCATGACACATCTGAGCCACAAACCAGCCACCATAGGCATAATTGCTTCACTGGGCTTGCGAGAGACCTGACACCCTGTGCCCGACCCGCGTCACCGGCTAGGCAGCCAAGCATACTGGCAAGCACTAGCCTGGAAGCTCCAGGCTGGGCTCCTCCTTGTCTTGCATCCTTTCTCGTCTTTAAAATTCGTTGTTCACATCGTAACCCCCCCCCCCCAAAGCAGCCCACAGGCATCGACCTGCTTCATGTTACACTTAGTTTTTCTCTGGGCTAGCCAAATGCTGGGTTTCCTCCTCAGACCAACCGCCCCCCACACACACACCTGCACCCCACCCCAGAGGATGAGCCTGGAAAAGCAACCGAGGCATTAGTTACAGCTTACAGTTGAATGTGACATATTCAGAAACAGCCCCTTGGCTCAAACTGCAGCTTTTCCAGACTCGCGCCCTTACTTCCATTAGTCTGTCCTAAGTATCCTTTGTATGAGAAAATGCTTCTGCTGGAAGAGTCCTGGCAGCCAGAGGGATCTCAAAAAAACACACAGACCAAGAAAAATCAAACTTCTTTAAGATAATATAAAGGAGTTAAAGTTAAAGTGAAGGTGCAAAGTGCAAGGAGAAGGGGGTCGTGGGGAGAGATGCATGCCCTGGTTATTTTGCACCGCAACGCGTGCTGTCAGAAAGCCCCACATTTCTTTATGCCTTGGGTCCCGCAGGCTGGTGTGCAGGCAGAGCGCATTCCACTTCCTTCTCTGGGCGGCAAGCTCTAACTTCCTAAGCTTACCTCCATTTCGCCCCCGCACGGCTCCCGGGCTTCTTCGTCCGCTGGGAGAGGCCTCCTCCTGAGCTGGAGTGGGTTGTGGGGTGCAGGGAGTGGGGCCCAGAGGGGGGTACCCAGTGTTTGGTGCTGCGCCACCCCCCCCAACAGGCTGCTAGGGCAATGGTTCACTCCTTTCCCCCACCCCACCCCACCCGCCTTCCACTCGCTCACCCCCCTTCCGCCCCCCTTCCCCCCCTCTGTATTGAAAAGGGCTGGCTTGGCTGTGGCTCCTTGCAGTCGACGAACTGTCAGGGCGGGAGGAGCTGTGAGCCAGAGCAGCCAGCAGCGGATCGCGCAGCACAGCAGAAAGCACGGAGAGCAGAGTGCACCGAGTGGCAGTGGTCAAGGCTATCCAGGCGGTACAGGCAGCCCAGCCAGCCGGGCCGCCCCAACAGCCTCACTCCACGCCTCCACGACTACAGCTGCTCCGCGGACTGCGAGCTGTGGCGGTAGAGCCCGCTACAGCAATCGCAGTCTTCGTGGAGCAGGCGGAAGCCTTTTTCTCCTTTTCCTTCCCCTCTTCATTCTACTCAGAAGGAGTCACTGAATAGGTAAGTATTCAGTCCGGGTGCCAGAACCCGCTGCGGCTGGGGAGGCATGGCACATCCCGCACTTAGGACGTTGACTTGCCTGCGTTTGGGATCTGGACCACTGACCACAGCGTGGGCTTAGAGACGCTGCTGGTGTCCTCCCTTCTCGGTTCTCGTCTCTAGAGGTAATAAAAGAGCAAGCCCTGGAGGTGAGCTCGCACAGAAAATCTTTTTGACACTGCCTCCGCTCGGTTTGGTTACTTTGCAAAAACTCACTTTTGTCAGAAAAGTGTCCGCGCATGAATTTCTCCGACATTGGCTGTGCAAAAAGGTCTTCCACTTTATCTGATTCTGCCAGTTTGAGGGAAGCTGCATGAAACTCTGATGGGGCAAGTGCGGGGATACTGGGGTGAAGCCCCAGACTACTGGGGTAATCTCCCAGAGCATCCCAAGCTGAGGGGCAATGCTCCAGTAGCGAATAAGCCCTGGACCCAAGGCGGCCAGCCCAGCTGCGCTCCGGACTCTGTAGGCTCGGGTTTGACTCCTTGGTGGACTAGCGCAAACCCTTGGGGTCGGAAACTCGCCGCACCGAGACAGAAACGTGCGTTGCACAGTGTACACAGGGTCCCTGGGAAGGTCCTCCTGGTTCGCCCTTCCTTACCGACCCACTTAGAGTGCTCTGCTAAGCTAGAATCTGATGGATGTGGGAGATGGTAGGTGAGAAAAATTCTGCCTCTTAAAAAAGACAACTTATAACCCAGTAGCGGAAAACTGGCATCCTTTTGTGAATTTAAAAAAAAAAAATTAAAAAAGACTTTTTTTCTAAGGGAAGCCCTACGCAAAAGCTTTTCTCTTTCTCTAGAGGAATGACTTGAAATCCCTTAGCCAAAAGAATGCCCACCTATGTCAGGAATGCATGGCATTTTCTAAGACAGACCGAAAGCAGTTCATCGCTCCACAAAGAAGGATCTTCCTAGAGCGTGTAGTCCCCAAAAGGCTCCTTTTCGCGAAAACGCCTCTTGGAAAGCGTGCCATCAGAAAAGGTGACTTTAAAAAGCACCTATATTGCTTTGGAGACTTTCGAAGAGCGGAGCGTCAGCCTGCCTCAGGTTGGAGACATCACTTCCATATGAGCGCATAGTAGCAAAGCGACTCGTCCCTGGGGTGTCCCTGTCCCAGAGTGGATTGTGGGAGCCATTTCCGTGCCTCCCCCAAGGAAACAGTTTTTAGAGCTTGGGCGAAGATGGCCCCTTTGCGTCCGGTGATTTATTGAGGGCTCCACTGCGTTAGCCGCCTTTGCGGCTGGGGGTGCAGGGCGCTAGGATGCGCGCACGGAGTAGGTGTGTGCGCGCCTGCAGGCGGGCACTCGCCTCTGTGAACCAAGTGCCCTTCCAAAATGCTGTCTTTGAGCCTGCGAATCCAAACTTGTGCCACTGCGACACCCACCACGAAGCAAACCCGGGAGACAAGAGGGGCTAGGACAAAAAATTTTATTAAAAATTTAATTAAAAATTAAAAAGAGAAAATTAAAGGGCAACACTGAAAAACTACCACAATAATAGTAACCAGCAACAACACAACACTCATCTTTCCTTGTGAAGAAACTTTTCAAGACTGGATTTATACCAGCCTAGGAGATGTTTCTGTACAAAGGATAGAGTGTGTGTGGCGGGGGCGGTGTTCAGAATATAAGCCGTGGGCAAAGGGGGTAAAAAGATGAAGAGGGAGCGATGGGGCCAGAGGAGCCGCGTGGTCCTAGAACTGCAACCAGCAAACAACCTGAGGAGCGTGCAGAGAAGAACTGCGAACATGGCACTGCGCAGAAAAAGGTGCGGGTGCTTGGTGACTTAAAGAGATTGTCTTAAGTAAAAGAGATGTGACTCAAAAAGGGGGAAAAAGGAGGGGGAGGGGTACGCGCTTGCAGACACGCTACAACTTTGTAAAATTGAATGGAATTCCACTTTTAATTTTGTTTGAAACATTCTCACAGTGGCAGGAAGAGATAGTTTTAGGCTATCTTTGCCTGCGTATTTGTCTGTGGGGTCGGGGGCATTTGAAAACTGATAGCATATGTCCATGTTTCACCTTTTTTGTCTTTGGTTCATCTGAGGCAGCGAGGACTGCTTGCGGGCGGTTTTGCAAGAGAACCAGGAGATGGACACGCCAAGGTCTAAATCTACCTTTCTCCTGCTGCTAAATTAAGAACTGCCGCACCCAACTCCAGTCCCCCGCCGCCGCCGCCTCCGCCAGGGCGCTGAGTTTGCCAAGTGGCTAGCGAGCGCCTCCAGGAGCGAGGCCCGGAAACCCAGTTCTTGCAAGGTTCCCCCTCGTTCCAGCAGCCCCTCCTCTAGCTATGATGTCAGCTGCAGCGAGGTTCCGCGGGCCCGCTGGAGGGCGAGCGGCGAGTGCGGGCCGGGAGCACCCGCGAGCCACCCGGGCCGGCGCACTCCCTGCGCGCAGCTGCTCTCGCGTCCTCCCACCCCCTGCTCTTCCCGCGCTCCAGCCCCCCTGTGCCTCTCCAGGGAACCCTGATCCCCTAGGGTGCGCCAAGGTGCCACCTGCCTGCGGCACATGGGGAATCCAGGGATCAAAGCCAGGTGTGGGTCTCTGCCCTCCTCCTCCCAAACACACGCAGGCTCCATTCTTTCCCCTTTTCCTGCTCACACCTTCTGGATTCACACTGAATTTAGTGGTTCAATGGTACGATAGAGGGCAAGTTCTTCATATGCAGCACTAACAGTTACCAGGGTTGAATCTCTGCGGGATTCTCCCCCACCCCCCCGCACCCCAGGGTGATCAGGAAGGATGCTAAGAACGTGGCTTCTTAAAAATCCCCAGGCTGTCTCTGTCTGCAAATCAACAGAATGAGAGTTCTAGAAGGAGAGGAGGTTCGCCTTAGCTTAGAGACGGGGCTGTGGGGGAGGGGTGAAGGTTAAGGCGCAGCGTGGGACCTCTGCTCCTGAGGGGCTGGAAATAGGAAGTTGAAGACGGGGGAGGCTTCAGGCTCTGCAGCACCGAAGGGGAAGCCACCGTGCTCTTTATTCTAAGACTGCTTGCTGCTCAGTCACTTCTGTGGATGGACGCGCCAAATTGGGAAGATTCCTGAATAGGATTTTACCTCACAGAAGCCCGCTGTGGCTTCCCTTCAGGGGCTTGCTCCACTCCTTTTTAGGAACAACCACTTTCCTGAATTCGAAACCAATCTCTCTTTCCCCTGATCTTGAACAGTTTATTCTTTAGTTCTTAGAGAAGGGCCGCCGCATGCAACTGGAGAAGGTTGTACAGGGCAAAAGGGAGGGGCCCCGAGCAGGGCGTGTGGATGCCAACTGAAGACTGGAGCTTTTTACCTTCGGAAAGAAATTAGATTCCAGGGGGACCACAACAAACTGCTTAGCTACTGTTTTTTCCTTTGAAGTGGGGGAGTGGGGGCGGGGTAGGAGGGGGGCGGACAGCAGTAGCGAATTCTTCCATTCTGTAAATGTGGGCTTTCTAGCTATTTTTTTCTTACTGCCTTTGATGGAAAGCCTCCTTTACATGATATATCGCTGCCTCAAACTTAAAAGTTGCTGTGCGTTTGAAATACAGGAAGGAGAAGGGAACTCAGATCAAGCATAAAACATTCATTTTCTAGAGCTCAATCATTTCCTAAAGAACCTTAACCCCCGCGACCCTCTCCCCTGCCCCCCTCCCCCCTTAGCGCCCGAGTGAACACTGTTCTGATGGATGTTAATAGTGGCTTTCTGCAGCTGAAAGGCCTGGGAGAGGAGCCTGCAGGTTTCAGATTATTACTTCCATCCGTATTCAAAACTTTATATATTTTTGCAAGATAGAAATCCCTGATTGAGAGCTTCCAGATAGCTGGTGGCAGGAAGAAATCTGGTAAGGGATTTTAAAAGCAGAAAATTGTCTGTCCTTTTCTCCCTGCAGCCGGTCCACAACAGCCTGTGGCCAGGATTTATAAGAGTCTTCAGGGAACACAGGGAGGCACACCAACAAGGAGACTGTATAAAGCACTGGCTACATCAAGGAAATACGTATGGCTGCCACGTTTTTTATTAGTAGGAAAGGAAATTATCTGGGGATGAAGACCTGAAAGCTAATTTCCACCAATAATCTTGCTTTACATATTTTAAAGGAGGTTTATTTATTCACCAAAGAATCTACAAACATTAATTAGCCACCTATTGTGTCAGACAAAGGGCTAGGACCTAAGAATATGAAAGAGATTCTGAAAAATGTGGCATGGGCCTCTTTGAGCTGGGAGACTCTTCTACAACTAGTATACAATGTGATAAATGCTTTGAGCATGTGGTGGGAGGAATTAATTTTGGTAAGAGGTTAAGATGTTCATTTAAAAATCCGATAACTCCCCACCTTTAGAAAAATAGCCTTTCTTAGTCTGAGGTTATCCAAGAAGTAGACATGGAAAGTTATACGGAGCACAAAAATAAGGAAGAGTTGGCTGCAGGATTTAGGGGCTTATGATGGAGTTAATTGCTATGTGTGTTTTCGTGATACAGGCCACAGTGGAAGATTTTTTCAAGAAAAAGATGTTAGCAACAGCAAAACAGGGAGAAAATTTCTTGCAGTAGGTGGTTCAAAGAAATTCTATTTCTTTTCTCTAAATTAAGGGGGCGGATAAGGTGGGAAGGTATTGTAACAGCCAGAAAACAAGGCATAAAGTAAATAAGTAGAACTAAAAAAAAAACTCTACCGTGGGAAAGAAAATTTCTCTTTATCGGCATATTTATATCATTTTACTCATCACACTTTTCTGTCCAAGCCTAACTATTTTCCATCTTCCCCCTCAAACAGCAATGACTAGGCACTGTCATCTCCCAGCCACTTAGAAGCTCACTTATCCCCACCCTACCTCATTTTGCACACACATCACACACATGCTTGGACACTTCTACACTCTTCATTTCTGCTGCTTTTACCTACTTCAGCTTTCTTTCTAGCACCTGCTTCAACTTAATCTATTTTTTTTCTTTCTTTAGACACAGGCAAGCAGCTATAAC